AGAGAGTGTTATTTTCTTTACTAACCATTCCTTAAAGATTTTCATAATTACCTCATACAATGTCTCAACCGATGACATTTTCTCAATAAAAGCAAGATTGGTGAAACCCTGACATAAGAAGTGTTCGATTCGAGGACGAATCATTTTTGAAGAAGGAGGGGATGATGTGAACAAGGAAAAGGAAAAGAATTTATTTACAAAGAAAAAATCAGCGAAGGGGTCGATTTCCTTCTTAAATTGCATAAGAAATCAATGGGAAAGAGAAACAAATCCCATGCCTTAATGCGAGATTGAATCTTATAGATTTTATGGAGATTATGGGAGCACTTAATCATTTTCCAAACTTGCCATAGTATTCCTTAATTCTTCCCTCAATCATCTCCATAATTAATTAAGATATTTTCTATTTAGGAAAATCATATCTATCATATTTTAGAAAATATTTTTGTTTAATTATTGCAAGTTTTCTATTATGTTCTAGATTTATTTTCATGTGTAATTTTTTAATTAATTTATGAGATTCTTTTTCTTATTATTCACATAGTCTACACTATAAATATGTCATCAATTCATAGTTGTATTCATTCAAGATTGAGAATAGTATAATTATAAAGTTATAGTTTTCAATTATTGAGGTTTTCCTCAACCTTCTTGTTGAGTGAAAATTAATTTAACTTATTAAGATAAGTTCTTGTGGTTATTTTATCAATCCTCATGAATTAATTTCACTTATCAAGGTCTCATCTTGTAGCATTTAATAAATTCTAATCATTATCCCAATTGCTTTGATTAACATTCACATATTAAATGTAGGTTAAGTAAGGAGGGTTTGTTGAGAGTTTAAGGATTCTGAATACTAGAGTATATATATGTGATTCTTGATTACGTTAGTTGATCTTGGGTTTTGCATTAATTAATGTGGCTGAAAACTATATAAGTACACTAACCAACAAGAACACTGCTACTACTTCCTGGATATTCAAAAGTGTTTATGGGCCACCATTCTATGTAGCTAAAGTTGGTTTTGAAATATTATTCTGCAGCTCAATAACTTAGTCTCCTTAGCTACTCATAGGAGATTTTAATAAGGTATTGAATGACTAAGAAAGAAGTAAGAAGTGTTTTAGGCCTGCCACTTCTAACAATATATTCTGACATACAGTGTATCAATTAGACATCATAGATTTTGGATGCATTACAAACCCGTTCACTTAGTCTAACTGAAGAAAAGGACCTCCAATTCAAAAATAAAGATCGACCGTACATTGGCTAATCCCTAATTGATGTAATCCTAGACAACCTAAAATTAGTTTTAAAGACGTAATTCCGTATTGAGGAGGAACCCCATGAAAATTCAGACTCCTGCAAAATAATTATTCACAAGTCTACTGTTACACAATAGACATGCAGTCGTAAGTCCCGTCCCAAATAGGAAAGCGATGCCTAAATCTTTTTGTTTTCTAAATGGGATCGCCTAGAGCATAGAAGTAATTTTATCCATGATTATTTTCTTAATTTGGATTATTCCAAGAAATGGGTCAAGTTTGTTCAAGCTAGAAGGCTTAAAACCCAAGTAAGATTAATGGGCTTGAAGAATTAATGGAAAGTTTAAGTCTTGGCCCAACCCAAGAAGGCATCAAGGCTTTACGGCCCGAGAGACATTAGGCCAAGGCAAGTCATCACATGCACAACCCCTGTGCATATGTGAGATAAACAGTGCGCATCAAGCATGCGCACAGATAGAAGCCCATGCAACCCACGCGCACATGTGCATAACAAGGCTCAATGCGCATACAGAACCAGCCCGAGCAACAGATCCCGTTGCATGACCTAGCAAGCAAGTAGGCTCGCATGCACGCAGACTTAACAAACCTGGCTACATGATCTACGTGTTCGTTTTAGGACGACCTGTGCGGCGACCCACATACTTGCAAGATGGGATCCACGCATCCTTTATGAGCCGACCTGCGTGCCCACTCTGTGCAACCCATGCATACCAAACAGGTTCGCTCGCATGCCCGCCTCACGTAATCTGCGCACTGTACCTGGATCGACTTGTGTGCTCGCCTGTTTGACCCCCGTGGCTCCAAACGGGTTGACCCGCGCACCCAGTTCCGAAAATCTATGAAAAAGTGATTTCATGAGTCCTTTTTGGACTTTTCCACCTATTTTCCCCATGTGTTTTTCATGGAAACACATGGATAATTTCAACATTTTTTATGTTGATTTTTATTAATATTTTAATATAAATCTATGTCTTTGAATTATTTAATCATTTATCTTGTATTTAAATTGTGGTAGAATATTATTTTATTATGTAATTGTCTTATATTAAGATATAATTTTATCTAAGATATTATTTTATTAATTTTTAAGTGATTGTGATGAACTAGAATTATCTCGGAAAAAGATTATAAATAGGCCTTTGCCTATAAATTGCAAACAGTTTGCAATTTATTTGAGAGAAATAATATCGAAAGTTTTGACTTTTCTTTAAGAATAAACATTTTGTTAACTTTCTTTTAACTTTTTTAAGTTCTTCAAGAAGCAAGAGTCTTTAGAAGTCTTGTTGAGTGAATGAGCGTGGATCAACTTGTCAGTAAATTTGTGATATTTTTCCTTTCCTTGTTTTAATTCCCTAGTTTTTGTTTTTGCATTCCTTTTAAGATCTTAAATTCAATTAGAATGAGAGATTTTCTAGACGGTTAAGTTTCGATATTGCATATATTGAGTGGTTTATAGGAGTTTATTTGATCATCTCCATACCCTCATGCGCCACTACTTGAACATGATGTTTTATATGCAATAGTCATTCATGTGCCTATTATAATTTTAGATCACTTTCCCCTTATTATTGTGGTTATTGGACTACAAAAGAGGTCAACCAAACTATTTAAATTTGAAGTATGGTTAAGAGACTCTTTAAGTACTCCAGTAATGGAAAATACCTAGTAAATTCATGTGTATGGATCAACTGCACATAAATATTGCCAATATCTCAAAAATGCAAGAATAACTCTCGTTAAATGGAAAAAAAACATACTTTGGTGGCACTCCAAGCAACATTAAAAAGCTAAAAGAGGAGATTAATACTTCCAACAACAAAATCCAAGTCAAGATATCTTAAACTAAGAAGCTTAACTACAAGAAAAGCCCTATAAACTCCTATTAAGAGATTAAATATACTGAAAATATAAGTGTAGAGATAGAAGGTTGAAAATGAGGATCTAAGTACAAAATATTTTTATATCCAAATTACCATGAGGAAGAGAAGGAAACATTATTGAAGCACTAAAATGTTTAAATGGCACATGGACTACTAACCAACATGATATCACTGAACAATTTCTTTGATCACTTCAGGAAGATATTCACATCATATAATCATATCTTTTTTGATGACCTGGAAGGCCTCTTCCCTCTACAGTTTTTAAATAAGGATAAAAAATTCCTAGTGAAGATACTAGATAAATAAGAAATATTTCAAGCCTTAAAAATATTAGAGCTATCTTCTACTATCATTTTTGGCCCATCATCATATAAGAGGTTATTACTTATGTTTAGTCTTTTTTTGTGCAAATTTTCTATTCAAGGAATAAAAACAGACAAATATAATTATGATCCAAAAAGCAAAAGGAGTCCATAACAAAAAAATTGCCCCTTTTCACTTTGCAATGTAAGTTATAAAATGATTTCAAAAATTTTGAGCTTTAAGGTTAAGGATTTTTATGGAGAAAATTATATCTCTCTGCCAATTAGCTTTCACTAAGGGTCAAATGATACAAAAAAATGTGATTATAACTCATGAAATTTTGCATTCAATGAAAGGGAATAAAGGGAAAGAAGGTTGGCTAACAATTAAATGTGACATAGAGAAACATTTTGACTGAGCAGAATGGAGTTTCATACGATACATTTTAAAAACTATGTGCTTCTCTATTAAGGTAATTTAACTTATTACATCAATACTTTATGACAGTAACATATCAATTTATAATAAAAAGAACTCTATTTAAAGGGGATTACCCATAAAAATGTTTCTAACATGGAGATTCTTTATCTCCTTATTTAATTTGTGCATTAGAGCACTATCAAGAGTACTGCTAAAAGCTTAAGCAAATAGAGAAATACTAACTTTAAAGTCAGACTCACTACTTCTTCATTTGCCCATCTGTTCTTTACAAATCATTTACTAATATTTTGATACGTCAATAAAAGAAATATTTATAATAATATATTTAGATAAATATTGTGTATGGTCAGGTCAAGCCTTAAGTAAGCATAAATCTTTTTTTTTCTTTAGCAAAAATACTCAAGTTAGCAAAATTAAGATATTAGAATTTCTTTCTGGCTGAATGAATCAATACAAGCCACAAATAATTGGGATTGCCATTTTAATTTAAAAACAAAATAAAGACAACTTCAAATAGGTGCTAGAAAGAATGAAAACAAGAACGGTTGGATGGAAAGTCGAGTCTCTCCTCTTTTATGGAGTATTTTACTCCCAAACATTATGAAGTATAAATAAGAACCCTTACCTTTACTATAGTTTATCAACTGTAACTAAAATAGCCACAAAGCGTAACACCAAAACTAAAAGTTCTTTGCTTCTCCAAAAAAAAAAGGCACTTTTATCATTTATGGTATAAATATGCGTCCGTGGCTTATGTTTTCATGATTGTACCACTCCGCACTCCAGATTTCTTCCCTATCTTATCCCCCCCCCCCCCCCTTCTCTCTCCACAATTTACAAACACAGTTGCACAGAGCCCCCACTGCAAACAACAAAAACAGAACAGAGCCTGACAATTAAGCTACCATTCCTGCCTTCTCGCTTGCCTATCTTTATGTCGCTGCCAGTTCTCCTGTCTTTAATTTAATCTCAAGCTTAACCCTCTCCTAATATTCGTTAAAAATGGTGGCACCACTTCGTGACTTATCATTAGTGAACCACTGCCCCTCCGTTTCACCTTCTCCTTTACTTTTTCTTTTCGCCAACAGTAATTTCCGGCAAAAACACCATGTGGGTTCTTCGTTTTGGGGTAAAAAGTCCCTTCAATTGCTCAAATCCGAGGCAAAAACTTCGAAACTTGGAGGTTGTAGAAAGCGGAGAATGCGGGCGATGGCTTCGTTAGGCGGTTTACTTGGGGGGATTTTCAAGGGAACTGACAGTGGAGAGTCAACGAGGCAGCAGTATGCAGCAACTGTGGACATGATCAATAGATTAGAACACGAGATTTCGGCATTGTCGGATTCCGATTTGAGGGAGAAGACTACTATTTTGAAGGACCGTGTTCAGCAAGGCGAGTCGTTGGATTCTCTTTTGCCCGTATGGTTCTAATCGTTTATTCTTTAAATTTGATTTGATGCTGGATTTTTTTGGGCTCTCTTTTGCAAAGAAAAAAAGTTTCAACAATTGCATTTTCCCCTTGTTTCTAAAAGCTGTACTTTTGTTGCAGGAGGCGTTTGCAGTTGTTAGAGAAGCCTCGAAGAGGGTTCTACGCCTTCGTCCGTTTGATGTGCAACTAATAGGTAAAAAGTGTCTGATGTGCAATTGGATACTTATTGGTCTGTTGGGCACCATCCATAGCTGCAGCTATGATCTCCATGAATCTCATGTTCCATTTTGTTTTATCAGATTGGTTTTAAGTTGTCTTCAGTCTTGCAAATGTTGTGCTATGGTTATTGTCCTTGAGAAAATTCTAAGGGATTGTTTATTGTTGATAATGTAGGTGGCATGGTTCTTCATAAAGGAGAAATATCTGAAATGAGAACTGGTGAAGGAAAGACCCTTGTTGCTATTTTACCAGCTTACTTGAATGCCTTAAGTGGCAAAGGAGTTCATGTGGTTACGGTCAATGATTATCTGGCCCGAAGAGATTGTGAGTGGGTTGGGCAAGTTCCCCGCTTTCTAGGATTGAAGGTTGGCCTAATCCAACGTACGTCTCATTCTTCAAATTTCTGTTTCACTTGTTGCTTGTTTTCTTCAATGTATATTCTTCTGCTTCTGATCAGATGGATGAATGGTGCTTTTCATTTGGAACTTGACTATTTAAGTGTCTCCTTTTACCTTCTCGTTGACTATTCTTCATACTTTTTCAATTGATAGATACTTATTAGTTGCTTTTAGGATTTAGTTTAATGGCATAACTTAGCTTCGTGATGGCTAGGTTGTTAAAATTTATGCTTGAATTTCTATATAACCCTCTTGTGAGTAAGGTAATTTTCTATAAAGTTCATTTTGCTGTATCTAACAAATTTATACTGTTCCTGGCAGAGAATATGACAAGTGAACAAAGAAGGGAAAACTACTTGTGCGACATTACATATGTTACTAACAGTGAGCTTGGTTTTGATTACTTGAGAGACAATCTTGCCACGGAAAGTAATTCTTACTTTATATCGTGGTCTATTCATAACTAATTTGTTATGGATACTTAATCTTGCTGAAAATCATTTTTTTTCCTTTGCTGAATGAACTCGCAAAATGTACAGAGTGTCGATGAGCTTGTCTTGAGGAATTTCAATTACTGCATCATTGACGAGGTTGATTCCATCCTTATTGATGAAGCAAGAACTCCTCTTATAATCTCTGGACCTGCAGAAAAACCTAGTGACCGTTATTATAAAGCTGCAAAAATAGCAGCAGCCTTTGAGCGAGATATACATTACACGGTTTGGTTCTATTTTTATTTGAATTCATGCGGTCCAGTTTTACAGTTTGATCACTGTTTGGTGGACTTTTTTGCAAAATGGAGTTCTCTTGAAAGTCAAACCCATATAGTTTTCGTAAAAGTACGAATATGTGGGTACTCTTTTCTCCGGCATCATGCAATGTTCCTTATAGGTCTAGATCAAGTGTTCACTTTTGTTTTCCAGCAACATGAGTATATTTAGAAAAAATTGCTATCGTTGCAGGTGGATGAAAAGCAAAAAACGGTTCTACTTACGGAACAAGGTTATGAGGATGCAGAAGAAATTCTAGATGTAAAAGATTTATATGATCCCCGAGAACAGTGGGCTTCATATGTTCTCAATGCCATTAAAGCAAAAGAACTATTTCTTAGAGATGTAAACTATATCATCAGGGGCAAGGAGGTGCTTATTGTGGATGAGTTCACTGGACGAGTTATGCAGGTGATTCTGTTTATCCACAGTGTGCTTCTTCTAAGAGAAAATGAAACTAGATACCAACTACTGTTGTTGGCACATCTTCTTCAGCTTTAAATTTTCTTTTTTCTAATTTATTTCTGGTTATTACACTCTTAAATTTTGTTTTTGTTTTCTTTTTGGGAGATTCATGAATAACCACTATGTTTTCCATGATCAAGGAATGAGTGAGACATGAGATGTGGCTCTAAGAAAATGACTGGGTAGAATCATTTGGGCAATACCTTTACTGGCTTCTCTTCTCGTGAAAAGTAGGGGGGAAGTTTTCCTCTTTCTTCATGCATAGCACCTAGATATGAAGTACTCGATGCCTTCATCTTGAGTTGTTTGTTATTTAACTTTAATGCTTAATTTTTTTATCATTTTGTTCCGAGCTCCCAGTCCCTTATTTGTCAAAAATCTAAAGACTGCTCGATTACAGACAATAAATTCTCACTTAGAAAAAACTTACTATAGAATATAGTTTATCTTTCTCACTATACTTCATAGGAGCTGGGATGCTACAGTAACGTGATTTGATATCTCTTCTGTTCTTTCTTTTTGTACTTTTTGTTTTGTTTTCCTTTTGTTTCAGCTGGATAACTTATCTACTGTTCTTTTTATAATCCTTTCTTTCTTATCTTAATAAAATTTCTTTTTCTATATAAAAAAGTTTATTTTCACAAAAAATATCTTATTAATAATTAAACCACCATTCGGAGCCTTCATTGTTCATGTTCGGTAAATGATAATATGAGTGCTTGTGATAAACAAGTTCATTCACCTCTTAAATCTCCTAGTGGCTCTGTTCTCAGGCTTCTGTGGTTGGACTAAACTTATAATTACGTTTCATCTTCATATTGAGTTTAGGAAGTAATGGAAAAATTTCTGACAAAAGAGAATCAGACCTCCTTCATGTAGGGAACCTTAAAAAGTTCATTGTAACCTATGACATAGTGTGATTTCCCTGCTGCATCATATGTAGCTAAAAGTAGGGATTTATAACCAACTTCTGATATAAGTAATACAACACTATACTGTATGTGGAATCATATGCATGCTTTTGCTTCCAAATAACTAGAATTTTGAAATCAAAGAATCAGTTTTTGTCGTGCAAATACTGGATTTTAACCCAATACTCTTGATTATTCATTCCTGAAAAATCATCTTCTTTATTATTCAAGGGCCATGAAATTGCTAATTTAATCATTGATATTCTAAAGTATTGTTTTGTTGTCAATAATCTCACCAACAACACACTTCAAAACATAAAGGATGTGAAAGATTGGGGAAAAAGGGATCTTGATTTATCAATATTCAGGCACATACTGAAGTTAATTTGTCTGACGTGTCAGGGGAGGCGATGGAGTGATGGACTTCACCAAGCAGTTGAAGCAAAAGAAGGTTTGCCTATTCAGAATGAAACTATAACTCTGGCATCAATTAGCTATCAGAACTTCTTTCTCCAGGTTGGC